TTCTTCTGTTCCCCACCCCTCGACTTTCTTCCACTTTGATGAACCTCCCCTCTGTGAAGCCCGAAATCAATTAAAGGACTAATGATAGCTATCAAAACACCTGCCATTTGAAATAAATATTAAGTAGCCAGAATTCTCAATGAGTCCTGTTACAGTTTATAAGTCTAAAGCTTGACGTTTCAAAACGTCGCAACGATTTCTTCAATATCTGTACGCATATTGTGCTTGTCGAATTAAGGCAACGTCATGTACGAGATTTCAACTTATTTAAAAATATCTGATCTCTTTAATATTTGGGTTATAAGGTTTATAATCCAATAATATATACTTAGGAAAGAAAAATAAACTTATAAACAGTTGAAATAAGATCAAATGCAATCACTCATATTTTTGAGTTTCCTTTTCCCCAATTTTTCTCATTTACTTCTTATTTGACAATTCAAACATTCCTCGATGATACTCTTTCATTTTATTAAAATTTTTCAGTTTGATTTTAAGATGGTTTAGAACCGTTCGTTCCTTATTAACTGCGTTGATTTTAAACTTTCGTATTACTGCGTACTTATATATTATATCACTTTGTTCAGAGCCAATTACTGAAATCTGCCTAAAAAATCTATTTAAATTATTAATAAACGCTGTTAATGTTGTTTGAAATTAACAAAATTTTCATTGAAAACAAGAAACATATTTAGTCTTTTATATATATATATATATATATATATATATATAGCCACTTCAAATATGAATTGATGACTCAACTTAATGATGTATTTTTTCGTATTTAGGAATCCTCAGACAATGAAACCGTGGTCATTAGACCTCAAAAGGAAAGTTCTCAACCCGGAGAACTACTGTTCCTCAATCAAAAATATGAAATAAACAATCACGGCAAGGCAAGTTCGTCATTGCTTAAATTAAGCCCGCCCTCATTTTGTAGCTATACTTCAAGGCCACCTTTTTAGCCAAGAATTTCCGAACCCAAGACATTCGCATTCGTATTGACTATGATAAATTGACCATCAGAGCACAATGCTCAGCAACGAAGAATAAAGACTCGTCGCGTGACTGCATTGAAAAATCAATACCTCTGGCTGTTCCACTCAGCAAATCTCACATCAAAGCTACACATATGACTGTAAGTTGGGGGACTTTGAAGTGAAGTATCCTTTGTTAGGATGAAAGATTAGTGGTTGTGGCACCTGTAGCAAAGGCCATCCACAAAGAGGTCCCAATTGTTGCTCGATGCGGATTCGACATAGGAAAGTTCGCTATCGATTTTAATGCACAAGAAGAAGTGGATGGAATCAGAGTTGTGAACAAAGAGATGAAATGCTTTCTCCTGTTGCGATTAACACTGGAACCACCCTTCACTGTGTCTTCCACTGTTGCATGTATTGGAATTCGCCTCTGGTGTGCTGCTGGAAATCGGCTGTGTATTAGTGGTGAGGCCAACTGGTCACCCTCAACTCGAACAATAATGGATTCACCATTTGAGGAGCATCGGAGTTTCCGACGTGTCTTTGTTGCCCCTGGACTAATTGATGTGAGCTATGCTAAAGCGGAGGTAATCGATGGGAAATATCTCATCTTTGAAGCACCACTAATTCAATAATTTGAAAAAACCCTCAGATTATGTTGAATGTTGTTTACTTCTCGAAAATTGAGCTTAAGTATAGCAAATTCATTTTTATAATTCCATGTTTTGTCCATTTTAAATATATTATCAGTAAGGGCTCATTTGAATTTAAAGAAAGTATACTTAAAATTTTAAACTATTAAATAAACGAAACATTATATGATGCCATTTTGTTTTTATTTTTGAGAGACTAAAAAATAGTAATAGTTACCTTGGTTTTGCTTCATGGTCTGCGCAAATTTAAATTAAATCAGCCAACATAATTTAATGCGATTAATACAAATTTGTGCAGTATTTCGACGCTGCTCTGGTTTACACCTCCGCTTATGACTTAATAGCATGAAATCAAGGAGTGAAGATGTTGCCCAAAATTGCTAGTGATAATCAGATTAAAGTATTCGAAAGGCCCAGTATTCAGGAGTTGATTTGCCCATTGTTGCACGTCTAATATCAGGTATGAAGATTGTCACAACGGGATAATTGAAGTAGACTGGACTTGCAGTGTCCTCGCGTAGCAAGCAGATCGGTATGGGAACTACATTAGACAAACGAAGAGGTAGAAACTAAGGAATACGTAGCCCCAAGCCCGTACTAATCTAGACGGAGGCAAGCATTTCAAAAGATGCTCACTTCCCCCGTTTCCCATTAATGCTTTTTGATTGGATCTCGAATATACTTCGTGAAGAACAAGTATCCAGACCTCGCACTCTACACAAGAAAAATTAAACCAATTCAAAGTTCTGTGATTCTAATGGTGGAGTTACTTTTAAATACTCAAGTTATTGGTCATTTCGTGAAAAAATACCTCGAAAAGCACTGATTTAACTTATTGTAGCAAAGCGTGGTAGGGGTGTGGACAATAAATAATCAATAACGCTCAGAGGAAAAGATCTAAATAAAGCGCAATTTTCAACGAATATTAAAACAAATTTGCTCATTAAAGGAGAATAGACGTTAAGACGACGAATTAGGATAAGAGGAAGCAACACTTGCTCGCTTGAATATGCAATATTAGCAGAAAGACAAAAGTCCCAAGAATATGGTATCCCAACCGAAGCTAGGTATCAAGCAAGAGAGGTAAATTTTGCAATAATTCCAATTCAGAGGTGGCACAGTTTCGGAGTAATTTATTGATTCATTTCAAATGGCAGACGTTTTGGTAGCTATAATTAGCTATTTAGCTGACTTCGGGCTTCACAGAGGGAAAGTTCATCAAA